GTCCATACTACCCAAAGCAATCTATAGATTCAATGCAATCCCCATCAAAATACCAACGAGCCCTGGCCGGTTTGGCTCAGTGGTTGGAGCGTCGGCCTGCGGTACAGAGAGACCCGGGTTCGGTTCCCGCTAAGGGCATGTACCTCGGTTGCAGTTTGTCCCCGGCCCTGGTCGGTCGTGCAGGTGGCAGCTACTCGATGTGTCCCTTCACGTCGATGTTTCTCTCTCTCTCTCTCCCTCCTGCTCTATCTGAACAAAATATGGAAAAATGTCCTCAGGTGAGGATAAAAAAAAAAAAAAATACCAACGAAGTATTTCACGAAACTAGAACAAAAACTCCAAAGTTTATATGGAACCATAAAAGATGCCTGAATAGCCACAGCAATCTTGAAAAAGAAGAACAAAGTAGGAGGGATCACAATACCGGATATCAGGTTATACTACAAAGCTATTGTAATCAAAACAGCCTGGTACTGGCACAAGAATAGGCAGATAGATCAATGAAATAGAACAGAGAACCCACAAATTGACCCAAGACATTATGCTCAATTAATTTTTGACAAAGATGGCAAAAGCATACAATGGAATAAAGACAACCTCTTTAATAAATGATATTGGGAAAAATGGATAGTACATGCAAAAAAATGAAGCTAGACCATCAACTTACACCACACACAAAAATAAACTCAAAATGGATATAAGACTTAAATGTGATCTGTGAATCCATAAAGATCCTAGAAGTAAATGTAGGCCACAAAATTTCAGACATCACAAGCAGCAGAATTTTCACTAATACAACACCTAAGGCAAGAGAAGCAAAGGAAAAAATTAATAGATGGGCCTACATCAAACTAAAAATCTTCTGCACAGTAAAAGAAACAACCATCAAAATGAAAAGGGAATCCTCTATATGGGAGAGTACAACTGCCAATGATACATCAGATAAGGAGTTAATTTCCAAAATATATAGAGTACTCATACAACTCAACAAAAGGAAGACAAAGAACTCAATTAAAGAGTGGGCAGAGGAGCTAAATAGTCACCTCTTCAAAAAGGACACACAAATGGCCAAGAGACATGAAAAAATGCTCAACGTCACTAACCATCAGAGAGATGCAAATTAAAACAACAATGAGGTATCACCTCACACCTGTCAGAATGGCCGCCATCAACAAATCATCAAACAACAAGTGCTGGCGAGGGTGTGGAGAAAAGGGGACTCTAGCACACTGCTGGCGGGAATGTAGACTGGTGTAGCTACTATGGAAAACAATATGGTGTTTTCTCAAAAAACTAAAAACTGAATTGCCATTTGACCCAGTGATCCCACTTTTAGGACTATACCCTAAGAAGCCTGAAACACCAATCAGAAAGAATATATGCACCCCTATGTTCATAGCAGCACTATCTACAATTGCTAAGATCTGGAAACAGCCCAAGTGTCCATCAACAGATGAGTTGATAAAAATGCTGTGGTACATTTACACAATGGAATACTATGCAGCTGTAAGAAAGAAAGGTATCTTATCCTTTGAGATGACATGGATGGACCTAGAGAGTATTATGCTAAGCAAAATAAGCCAATCAGAGAAAGACAAATATCACGTGATCTCACTTATTTGTGGAATATAATGAACAAAATAAACTGATGAAAAAAATAGAGCCAGAGACATAGAAGTTGGGTACAGACCAACAAACCTCAGAAGGTGGGGAGAGGGGGAGGGAAGGGATAAACCACAGAACTTATATACATATATGTGTAACCAATGGACATAGACAACGATGCCGGGGTGGGGGGGTGGGGGGGGTAGAGGGGCAGGGATCTGGAGGAGGGTGTCAATGGGGAAAAAGGAGAAACATCTGTAACAAAAATAATTTAATTAACAAAATCTTTAGAAACATTATGAGCTAAAGGGGATACATTTGGTTGTCCGTGAATCAATTTCAACTAGCAAAGGGAAACATAAAGAACTCAGTATTGTGCTGCATCATGAAAACAACTTCAACTGAGTAAAAGAAAATGACAGAATAGCAAGAAGGGAGCTGAAGGCAACATGGCGATCTAGATAAAAATGGAACATGGATACTTTCTCCTCTAAGGTCAGCAGTTAAATCTGGCCAAGGTCAGGAGTGACAGCATCATCACTAGATGCTTGACCTCAATCTGGCTGTTGCAAACGGTATATTAACATTGCAAAACTGCAAGCCAGTCATCTCTCGGTAACTCATACCTAACTAGCTGCCCATGTCCTTGGCTAAATGTGAACAGCTGACCAGGGCATGGGCAGGGACACCACGGAGAAGGCTGAAGGTCCACAGTGAGAATTCCCTCATGCACACGCGGGGGGCGAAAACCACTGCCCACTCCCAGATTCCTGCCTCACATTCTAAGACTGTTAAAGGACTTACAGGACATCTGAGTCATTTGTTCCTTGTTTTTATTTTGTTTGAGGGGGAAAAAAGCCAAGTATGACAGCAACCAGCCCTCTCCCTTCTCTTAACTGTGTTGGTTGGGGGACTCATGGCCCTTTCCCCTACTACACCTCGGCAAGCAGATGACTCAGCTCTCACTCATTTCATGTGGACTGGGTTTCTGAAACACAGACCACCACAGAGCAGCTCTTTAATAAGTCCCAGGGAAGAGAAACAAGGGAGGCTGGGAGATTTGTCCCCAAGGGTCAGGAGAGCACGTTCATTCACAGACTGTGACCAGGGAAGTGTGACCAGTGTATTGCAAACCACATGGAGTATATTCTGGCGGACATGGCCTTGCTTGCAGATAAAGCCTTTTTGTTCGACTCAAGGGTTAGTCAGTAAAACATCCATTTAATCAGGGATAAGTTAGTTCCTCAAAGCCTTCCCTGGTAGGTGTGGGGAAAGATTTACAATGCACGCAGAAGAGCATCCCGAAGGCGGGGGCCTTCTTCATAAAGTGGTGGACCAACCTGCAGCTGCTGTGCTCAGAGACAGCCTGGATGTAAGGATGGGAGGAGGGGCAAGCAGGGTCGGCGCTGTGGCTGCTGGGAGGCCTGGAGACAGGAGGATTTTCTCCGTCTGCATCTCCTGGCTGGAATCCATCATTCACCCGGCAGCCCATGGTTTGGCTTCCTGAGACCAAGCCCAGAGTTCAAAGGTAACACCCACCGCCCCCATCTGCCTCTCATTGCAACACTCGGAGAATGAAGTCTTATCCCTTTGTGTTCAATTCATATTTTCTGAAAACCCACAAGATTCATCATATTGAATATACATTTCAGGCCCATGGGAAAGTCTCCAGTCTCAGCCCTCAAGGCACGCTCTTGTAAGTTTGATTAAAGCTGACTCACAGTCTGGATTCCCAAGCTGTTCAACCACAAGGCAGTGGAAGAAACCACCTACAGAATTCTGAACACACCCTCAGGGTCACCCTGGTGCCGTGGCTGGCCCACAAACCTCTGCGTCCACCTGGCCGGGAGGCTCTGTGACCTCGGGTTCCTCTCTGCCTGCACCAAGCTCCAGCCCAGCCTGGCTTCCGCTACTGCCTGAACTGGTATCCTAGACTCTACACTTGCGTCTGTTCTTTTCCTGTTGATCCTGGTAACTTGCCCTTCTCTGTAGTCTCCTGAAGCTCTTCCTCAAGTGGGGACAGAGAGTACCCTGGACTCTGCCTCCCTCCCTCCTCCCCTTAGAACCAGTCCCCTGCTGCTGTCCCATGTTGCACTGATGTAGACCTGGAGGCTCCCACTGCTTAGCCCCTTAGAGCTGACAAGACAGTTGCGTGGTCTTCAGAACTACCCAGAATGGTGCCCTTGCTCTCTAGGGACTCGCTACACCCTCCCCTTCCCGCCCACTCCAGATCCCAGATGCTTTGGGGGCGCCTTCCCAGTAGTGAATGACCCGTGTTCTGCACTGTATACCAACCTCAGAGGTTGGTATACATGTCTTTGAGCCCTTTCCCTTGGACTGATCTGTCTCAGCTTCCAAATATGTTCTTAGCTCACTGCAAACCAGGGTCCCACACCCACCAGCACCAAACCCTCAGCACCAGATTTCTGCACTGCCAGAGCCCCTCTGAGTTCTAAGAACATCTAGGGACAAAATACCCACTGGTCTGCCCTGGCCAGTTTGGCTCAGCGGTTAGAGCATCGACCTACGGTCCAGAGAGACCCGGGTTCGGTTTCCACTAAGGGCACGTACCTCAGCTGCAGTTTGTCCCCGGCCCTGGTTGGGTCGTGTGGGTGGCGGCCACTTGATGTGTCCCTTTCACGTCGACATCTCTCTCTCGCGCGCGCGCGTTCTCTCTCTCTCTCTCTCTGCCTCCTTCCCTCCCTCCCACTCTATGGAAAAATGGAAAAATGGAACAAAAAATGGAAAAATGTCCTTACCTGAGGATATTAAAAAAAACAAAACCCACTGGTCTGAAGGAGCTGAGGCCAGACAAGGAACAATCACCAACAGTTTCTTCACCTGACTCAATGCCAAGTTGGAGCCGCCTGTCTCCCTGCTCTCCTGCTTGGGTCTAAGGCAGTCATGAGGTCAAATGATTAGAGTGAAGACGCCGTGAGAACCATAAAGCCCTGACGAATGGAAGACACCTCCCCTCCTGCCAGCCAGACTGAGGACCCCACTGGCCAGCCTCACCGAGATCAATTGAGGCTAATGACAGCCTCCCCAGGCACATCTGAGCTCTGTGCTTCTCTGGTTCCCCCAGAAACTGTGCTTGCTCCTGTCACCATAAGCAGCACACCGTACTGGAATCACGGCCCCACATCGAGACAGCATCTCGTTAGTTTCTGCATACCCACAGTGCCTGACACACGGAAGGACCTTTACAAATGATGAATGGATGCATAAAGGCATGCACACCGGAGTGGATAAAACAAGGTTTGGTTTTACACACGGATTGAGAAGCAGATGGGACAATCAATAAAAGAGAGCAATCAGAAGGGCTTCATGATGTCAATCCTTTGGCCAAAGTCAAGACATTGCAGCCTTCACTGTGGCCCTCCCTGAGGACTTACCTGTATGGCTCCATGGTCCGGATGCCGTAGAACAACGCCTCCTCCAACAGCCCCAGGTTGATGCAGGCATCCATGGCGCAGTCGAGCACCTTCAGCTGGTAGATGTTGATATCAGGAAGCCGCTCCGAGTTGCTGCTTATGATCGTCTGGCATGTGGCCAGAACCTGTTCCCACTCTGTTATTAACCTTAGTTAAGGTCCGTTGTCTTCACCAAGAAAAACAAACGTAAAATGACATTCTCCAAAAGGCTGGAGAGCTCCCAGGCACAGGAGGGGAGGAAGAACCCATTATTTTGCACAGATGAGCTGCCTGAAAACACACTTGAGAGGCAAACACATGTAAGTGGCATCTCGGAGAAGTAAATTCTGTTTACATCAACAAACCATCTTCCAACTAAGCCGGTGCTTTGGGGGATTAAGATTTCCAAAGAACCGTTCTTTCTTCCTGTTCCTAAATGTCTTCTCTCCAAACGCAGTCGTGAAATGAGTGTTGCTGTTCATTAAACTGAACTAAAGATTTAGTTCAGTTTAAAATTATTTACGCTGTTAGCTTATTTCCAAACGGCTCTGAAATGAAAGAAGGTTCCTTTGAAAAGGAGGAGCTCATTACTGCTTCCGTGTCATCGGCACCTTGAGCATACAGGAAACAACCCGACCCACGGCCGCACACTAGGGGAAGCGCTGGGAAGAACTCATTTCCACCTCATCTCATATTGAAGTTTTTATTATAAAGCACAGCGACCCAAGCCTATACTTAACCGACATAAGGTATGCATATTTCAAATACCCCAAATAAAAGATAATATTAAGAGCATGGCTTTCTGCATGTAAGTTGTGGGCAGGGGGAAAAGATGCTTTTAAAAGGATGGAGAGACAACGCAATACTGCCCTGGCCAGTTTGGCTCAGCGGTTGAGTGTCGGCCTGCGGACCAGAGAGTCCTGGGTTCAGTTCCCGCTACGGGCATGTACCACAAAAACAAAAAACAAAAAAAGAAAACCCAATACCCTCTGCTGAGCAACTCTGACTTTCTGAGTAACTGCATCTTACTCCCATGGAGCCTTGGTGTGACCTCGCTTTTCGAGACTGCGGTAACTTGCTGTAACTCTTAGAGAGGCGGGCAGGGGATGCAGGACATGGTGTGTGGAGTGTGCCTGGAATCCCTCTGAGACAACTGCCCCGCAAACAGCACTGAAGTAGGAGCGCTGCGCTCCAGGACCTCACGTGGTTTCCTTCTTTGTTTTCCTTTTAATCCTCACCTGAAGATTTTAGAGAGGGGGAGAGGGAGGGAGAGAGAAACATTGATCAGTTGCCTACCTGACATGGCCCGACTGGGAATCAAACCCACAACCTTTTGGTGTGTGTGATGACACTCTAACCACCTGAGCCACCCGGCCAGGGCCCCCACGTGGTTTCTTTCCTGCGCTGCTGTGTTAGGTGAGGGGAGGCCAAGGAGGATCTGCAATGGGACAGCCCTTCCCCTGCCCCTCCCCACCTTCACTCTGGGTAACTCCAGACTCATCAGCTTTCATGTGCTGGAATTCCTCTAGGGCGAAAAGTTTGCAGATTTCAGATGTCCCAGAAGTGGCAGAGCCTTCGACTACAGATAAAGCTGGATTTAAATCTAAGCTGGTTGTGCCATTTGTCTGATTTGAGGTTCAGAGCAAGTCCATCTATCTAAGCGCTTTGAGGTAGAGGCCAGAAATAAAAATGCCTGATGTCACTGTAAAAAATAAAATACTGTATGCAAACATTTTAAAAATTCTGTGTGTGTCCTACCGTGAACCAGACAGAGTTCTGCGTGCCAGGGACACAGGGGGAAAATATTTCCTGGGATGCACAAAATGCACAACACCAAAATTAGTGCCTTTCTCCTCCCTTTACCGTCATGATCTCTGAGAGTGACAAGGCTTAAAGAAAATGGTTCGGTGGACTGAGTCTGATCGAATTTCCCATCCGCCCACACCCCTCCCCACTCCCACACGGCCCAGTCTCTTCACTATCCAGTGCTCTCCTGACCCCCAACTCAAAGCCTCTTCCTGGGGGTCCTGACACACACACCTGCCCTGAAGAGGGGGCAGGCTTCAAGGCTCCGCCATTCCTCCTTCCAGCAGAATCTACTCCTCCGCACCCAGACCCTCAGGGCACTGCTTTCCAAAGCCTTAGCTAGCGCTCTGAATACGTGGGGACTAATAGCTCTACTAACCTCACAGGAAATGTATCTTTCTTTCAGGGGGGTCTCCTGGAGGCAGACCACCTGCCCCGAAGGCATGCCTTCCTCCCTCAGCGGTTCAAGCCGCACCACACAGGGCTAGGGCTGCTTCATCACACTGCTTGCACATTGCACTCTATGATTTTAGGATGAGTCCTGTCTCGGAGAAGTCGGCTGGTCTCAGAAGACGCACATTTATTGAAGAAAAGTGAGTCGGCGACCGTCTTTAGCATTTCTGCTGCGCGTGTTTCAAGTTCGCTGAGCAAGTCTCCCAGAGGCTGGGGAAGCCGCACCGGGGCCAGGCACCGGTTTCACAGCAGATTGCTGGGCTGGCCTCTGCGGCTCTTCATTCCACGAGCAAGCATTTGACGAACTGTCGGGAGAGGTGACTGCCTCCTACACGCTGCTAGACGTTTCTGTGGCAAGACGGCACCTTATTTTAACATCGTGTTGTCTGACCTCCGCTGTAATTTGCCTATTCATTTATATGTGCTCCAACTCATTTGAAAGAGGTTTGAAGTTGACAAGCCTTAGAAGCGAAAGCCAGATGAGATCGTCTGCAGCCCTGATAGGCATGCATCTGCTTTGTCCCCCGGCAAGCTGGAAGGGACTACGTGCCAAGTTCTCTTCGCAACATTGGCAACCGTCTCCTGGCAAACAAGGCAACTCTTCCCTGTAAAACACCCCAGCGAGCAAAAACATGGAATAATTTTAACTAAGAGGCTTTTCCTCCAAGCCAGTGCCGATGTGTGTTTGCTCAAAAATGTAGTCACTGGCATCTGCTCGGTGTTTACTTCAGCTCACTCCGTTCCTGTGAGGAGGTCGCTCAGGACCCAAGCAGGGTGGAGAGCCACCCGAAGAGAGCAGACTACCAATGGGCAGAACAGACACCTGTTTCCTGAACACTTTAAAATGACCTCAGGAGGATTAGGGGGAAGAGAATGGGGACAAAGTAGATCCACTTGGGAATTAACCGGCTCCTTGAGACAAAGAGCGAACTGCAGGGCTCCTTCCCACCTAAGCATCTCACTACTGCTTAGCAATCCTCCCACAGTCCCGTCTCCTGTAGTCCACTTCCTCCACCTAGCATCTAAGGCCTGGCCCTGCTCCCCTCCTCCACTGTGAACAACTGGCAATTTCTCGACAGCATGCCATCGCACACTGCGTGCGTCTGCACAGGCAACTCCCTCCGGTGGACTCGCCGTCCTCACTGAGCAGGCGCTCTGAACTCCGGCTAATGCCCAGTTACAACCTAGCTGCTGCCTCCTCTGTGAAGCCTGTTCTAACCTCCCAGAGCTGACTGCTAGGCCTTTGATGCCCCTCCGATATATGCAGGCAGACCTCGGAGAGACTGAGGGTGTGGTTCTAGGCCACCGCAATACAGTGAGTTGTAACCTTTTTGTTGGCGGAGACTCTTGCCTTCAATTTGTAAAAAAAAAAGCAACATCTATGATGCACAATAAAGCAAAGTGCAATAAAATGAACAACGCCTGCATTTCACCGAAATATGTATTAACTGACGTATTTACTAATCCCCGTGTGTGCGAGTTCTGAGTGCAGGGTTGTGTCTTCAGCCTGCCTGAACCATAAGGTGGGCTGTCGCTCGTAAGGCTCCTGGCAGAGTCCGTGTCCAGTAAAGCCTTGTCCAGTCGAGGATGAACGTTGCTGGGTAATCCACACACCCTAATTCTGCTGCTGGGACCCCACAGAACAAGTCTATCCCTCTGCAGCTTGACAGCTCTTTCAGCCCAAGAATGGCTCTCTTGCTCCCAGATCTGACTATTTCCAGTTCCCCAGTACTGTCTATAGCCAGGGTGTCGAACTCCATTTTCATCCTGGTTCCACTCCTCAAAATTTATTTCATTTCTTCCTATATCCCTCTCAATATGTCCTACCTACCCCCAACTGAATAAAAAACTCCAGATATGGTCAGACTAATGCTATCACCTTTCTCATTTTCTCTTCTCTATCTCTATTCATGCAGCCCAAGATCACAGTGGTCTTTCAAGCGGTTAAATTATACCCTTAAATTTTGTTAGATTTTGTTGTTTACTAAAACCCTAAAATTCTTTCCTCTGTTCCGCTGCTAATCTTTGTGTACACTTATACACTTGAACTTTTTTACCCAAATAGAAGATTTCATATGTACTCTTGCTGATGTTCATCAGGAGTATTTCAAGCCTTCAGGGATCTTCTGAGCTCTTGGCTCTATCATCAACCTCTGCCATCCTCCCCATCTAACCTCTGGGAATCTCACGAGCCTGTGCTCCGTATCTTCATGAAGGTACAGACCCAAAGGTGGAAGAGGAAAATGTACCTCTGCGCAAGAGGTGGGAACAAAGCGCTCAGATGACAGTGACCCAATCAGCATCATTTCTCAGGGTAGCTACTGAGTCGTTTAGTGAGATGTCTGGTCATGCTAACATCTAGCATACATCTCTTGACTTTTTTAAAATCAAAACTCTTTCTGAAATCTAGAAACTTGACCACAGAAAGCCATGCATTTATGGACTCACTGCTCTTAATGAACCCACGCGGCCTCCTGGTAATCACAGCTTCCTTTTCCGCTCTTTTAGTAACGAATTCTAGATTCTTGTCCAAAACCACACACATATAAAAACCAAAAACCAAAACAACTTCACTGGGCTATAGATTTCAGAAATTACTTATTTCACTTTTAAAAATAGAAACAGTTGCCCGGCCGGCGTGGCTCAGTGGTCGAGGTCTATGCACCAAGAGGTCACCGGTTCTATCTCCGGTCAGGGCTCATGCCCAGGTGGTGGGCCCGATGCCCAGTGAGGGGCGTGCAGGGTGTTCTCTCTCATCGACATTTCCATCTCTCTCTCCCTTTCTCTCTAAAATCAATAAAAATCAATCAATAAAAAAATAGAAACTTTTGTCTAACTACCTCTCCTGTCCTATACAATTCTTTAAAGAACATTGTCTTATAGATTAGAAACCTCACTTGCAGATTTTCTTCGTGCCTAGGATATCATGCACCCAACGCATCTGAATTACTGTTTGTAATCTTTTCCATCAACCTTGGTCTCTTCCTTCTTACCTTGTGGTTTCCCTTTGTCACATTTTTGCTCAAGTAAAGTCCTCTGCTGGAAGTGACCCCCCCCCTCAGCCTCTGCCTATGTAAATCCTGTCCCTGATTTGGGATATGTCATGCTTGTGCAGCATGACATCAGTAGAGCCTTCCCATATGACCTCCATCATAAGTGATATGTCCTTACACTAAACTTTGACTCACTTGCTCTTGGCATAAATATTTATGCCAAGAATATTTATTGTACAGCAACTCCCATTACCATAGCAGTCATGGCTGCTTTAATATGAAGCTTCTAGATCTGAGGGTCAATGACAATGAAATGTAAGAATGCTAAGTTTTCTTCCCTAGAGATCTAGGTTATGGGAGGAAGGGAACCCAGACATCTGTCACCCTTTACGTATAGAGAGACCGCTATAACTGTACTATGGAACAGAATGAAGCCCACTGGAAAGATCAAACCCTAGCCTTGGCTTCATTAGCACCAGGCTCCAACCAATAAGGTAGCAATCCCAACAGCACAACTCAACCCACAGGTGCAAAGGATACTCCAATGTGCCTTCAGCTCTTCGATCTTTTTCAAGGATTCTTGAACCTCCTTCCATACTTGCTCATCACCAGTCAGCATATCAGCATCCTGTCCAGGCCAAATTAGAAAGAACAGAAAGGAAGACAAATTACTCAATTAAAAAATGGGCAAAGGATCTAAATAGACATTTCTCCAAAGAAGATATTCAAATTGCCAATAAGCACATGAAAAATTCTCACATCGTTAGCCATTAGGGAAATGCAAATCAAAACCACAATGAGGTATCACTTCACACCCACTACAATGGCTATGATTAAAAAGACAGATAATAACAAGTATTGATGAAGATATGGGAAAACTGGAACTCTCATATACTATTGAAAGGAATGTAAATGATGCAACTACTTTGAGAAAACAGTCTGGCAATTTCTCAACAGGTTAAGCATAGAATTACCATATCATTTAACAATTCCACTTCTTACATATTTACCCAAGAGAAATGAAAATATATGTTCAAACAACTTGTGCATAAATGTTCACAGCAGCATTATTCATAATAGCAAAAAAAAAAAAAAAAATGTAGATATAACCCAAATGTCCATCAGCTGATGAATGAATAAACTGTGGCATATCCACACAAAGTAATATTAGTTGGCAATAAAAATAAAAAGAAGTATTGATACATGCTAAAACATGGCTGAACCTTGAAAACATGCTGCTACATGAAAGAAGCCAGTCACAAGGATCTACATATTATATGGTTCCACTTATATAAAATGTTCACAACAGGCAAATCCAGAGAGACAGAAAGTAGATTAGTAATTGGCAACGGATGGTGGGGAGAACCAGGAGAGAATTGGGGAGTAACTGCTAATGAGTATGGGGTTTCTTTCGGGGTGATGGAACTGTTCTAAAATTGACTGTGATAATGGTTCCACAACTCTGTGAATACACGAAAAGCTATTAAATTGTATACTTTCATGTTTGAATTGTATGGTATGTGAACTATATCTCCATAAAGCTGATACATAAATATAAGTATATCTCTACATCTACATCTACATCTAAAAGAAGGGGAAGAGGAAGAAGAGAAAGAATCATTTGCTAGGAGACCTACAGATAACACTTGAATCCACATGCAGTGGTCAATCAAAATGAGGCTAGGAAAAGAAAGACGAGGACAATTACACCCATTTATGTGAACCAATTATGACTTCTGCAAAAACTAAAAAATCAATAAAAAACAATTTATAAAGCAATTCAAATCAAAGTAGGAGTCATCATTTATTAAAGGTCTGTCCTCGTGTTTAGCAAGCAGGGCCTATTTTTCCTGTATGTCCACACTTCAAGAGTCATCAGCCACATGTGGCTGTGGCAGCCATACTGGACAGCAGGAGATACGGAATTCTGTCATCACAGAAAGTTCTACTGGACAGCTGTGTAAAGAAGCTAATCAAAGGGTAAGGAACTCTCATCAGACACCACTTACAAGTAGGTGCTCAATATCCATGAGCTTCTCAATGGGAATCAGAGAAAAGAACTATCCTAGGAAGTTATATCAAATCATGACCAATGTGAGGGTGATGGTAAAGGTGAGAAGGCAGACCTGTACAGACTGGATTCGTCTCCCTGGAGATTCTTACGTGCCAATAAGGGAAGTTTACAAAATGACCCAAGAGAACCGTTGTCAGAGTAAGCCTATGTTACTGGTGGAAAGAAACATGTCACTCAGGTGTACCAGGGCTGAAAAAATACAGGGACCACAGAGAAGCACAGAAAAGAGGTCTCAAGAACAGTGTAAGGCAGTGGGTGTGCGTATGAGAAAATGTGTGTGCTTGTGTGTCTGTGTAACAGGGCCTTTTGGGTCTTTATGTGTGTTGTGCATACGTGCAGTACAATAGGGTGGTTTTCAAAAAGGCCTGCTAAGTGCACCCTATTTCTTTTAAAAATATATGTTTTTATTGGTTTTTTAGAGAGAGAAGGGAGAGCAAGGGAGGGAGGGAGGAAGAAGAAGAAAAGAAGAGAAACATCAATCAGCTGCCTCCTGCACAGCCCCTACTGGAGACCAAGCCCAAAACCTGGGCAGGTGCCCTGACCCAGAATCAAACAGCAACCTTTCGGTGCATGGGACGGCACACAACCAACTGAGCCACACTGACCAGGACCACCCTACTTCTTTTAGAAAATTCAAAATAATGCCTAGCTTTCTGTACATAGTAGAGGGGAATAAAATAAATTCTTTTTTAAAAGGGTAAATATCAATCTCCCATCAAATACCTGCTCTTAGTCCATATTCATCGCCAAAAGCCTCAGTTCCATCACCTCACTCCAAAGCCTTTGACTTCCTAGTACTTCCCAGATACAATCCATATCTTACATCTGGACACGCATACCACTCATGACTACATTTTCCCATTCTATACTTCACGCTGGCAGCTCAAGGACATGGTCCTGGGCATCTGTTTGCCCGCATGGCCCCGATGGAATCACAAGGGTCCTTAAAGGTAGAGGAGGGAGGCAAACGAGGAGACCAGGTGGTGTGGTGTGAGACGGCCCTAACCTGTCACTGTTGGCTTTGAAGAGGGGAGAAGGGGCCCACAGACTGAGGAGGACAGGCAGCCCCAGAAGCTGGAAAAGGCAGGAGACGGATTCTTCCTGGAGCCTCCGGAAAGAACAGCCCTGCCAAGACCTGATCTTGGAGCAGTGAGACCGTACCAGGCTTCTAACCTATGAAGAGTATGATAATATATTTATGTCAAGCCGCTAGGTTTGAAATAATTTGTTACCATAGCCAGTGGAAACTAATACAGACCCTAACGTACCTTCTGTTCTTCTGGCCACTGGAACTTGGCACATGCCCCCACCCTGCACCTAGAATCAATTAATCCGATCACTCACCTATTCAACTACCACTGAGTGCTGACAGGCACGGTTCTAGGCACTGAGAACAGCAGTAAAGAAATCAGACAAGCACAGTGTTTATGCTGAAGAGGTAGGAGGAGTGGATGGCAGAAAACACACACAGGCAACATATACATCTATCAGGGGCAAAACAAACAGGGAAGGGGGAGAGGGGACTGGCTCCATTTTAACAAGTAACCAGAGAAGGGGATATAGGAGTCGAGATCTGAAGGAGGTGGAGGAGGGGACACCAGTTGTAGGGAGAGGGGAAAGGACAAGCCGGGGCCGAGGCAGGGGCACCCAGCTGCTCCAGGAAGGGAAGGGCCAGGAGGCCGGTGGAGAGAGTTTCTGGGCTGCAGTCTGTGTGCGGGCCTCACCTTCCCCATTGAGCTAAACATGCTCTGTGATCCGCCTCTCCCATGCCCAGCACGGAGCCTTGCGGCTAACAGATGCTCGGTTAACTGTCTGTAGATGGGGCTGAGGAAGGAAACGGGTATTCGTAAGGATCTGCACGTCTCCTGCATGTGTATCAATTATTCCTCATAGCCTCCTCCTAAGGCATCAATACCTACATTAACAAATGAGGCGCACGATAGCCCTCGTCTAAGTAACTGCTGGGAACGGCCTTCTGCCCTCACTGCCACAGGTAAGATTCAAATCCAAGTCTGTCTGGCCCCAGGGCCCATGCTCTCTCCACTACCTTCATATTCGATTTGAATTCGGTCTTGTCCTAGGCTTGCTCAAGGTGAAACTCATGTCTGTGAGGAGTAAATTCAACATATCTTCAACCCATGGATCCTACAATATTCCTCGCACTTGCCCTTGGAAAGGGCAGGAAACTCCTCCAACATGGGGTTCTCGGACTCTTCCACCGAGCAGGGCGAGAATATGGGTCCAGGAAGAACAACTAAATTACAATTATATTCACAACTAAATCCCCACCATAATCTGATTAGCTGTGCTTTAGGTTGGGCCAAAGACTTTATTTACTTCTCAAAAGAGCAGGCAAGCTTTGAAATTGCTTCCAAACATTCAGAAACAATAGCTCTTGAGAGCACTTTCTATTGGAGCTAGACAAAGCTAAATTCACTAAAGCTAACTATCAACTCCCTGGAGGGTTCCATGATGGGAAGAGTCTACTGGGGTTCCCGCTCACCTCATTCCACTCCCACCCTCCTGGCCCTCCCTGTTCCAGTCTGTGTCTTCTCCTGTAGCTGTCCTTGCAGTGGGGTCTGTCTCCCTTCTCCCCATAGCAGGTAAGAGGAGAACACTGTGCATGTGTGTGTGTGTCTGGAAGAAAACTAACATGTTATATATATATATATTCATACACACACACGACATATGTACGTAAACAGAAACTACTTAGGGAAGCATAATTTAAACGTACTTTTTTAGTTTGCCAGTATAAGAGTAAATTAGTGTGTTCTTTTTCATGGCCCCTGAGGAATGAAATTAGTATACTATGTCTTTATTTTATTCTTTCTTTCTTTTTTTTTTTTTTACATGCCCCTAGCGGGAACTGAACCCAGGACTCTCTGGTCTGCAGGCTAATGCTCTAACTGCTGAGCCAAACCGGCCAGGGCTATTTTATTATTTCTTAACCAAAAATATCAAAGACACTTGCTATCATTCAAGACAAACTTTAGAAAAAAATTCCTTTTTGCATTCTAGCTTTACTATGTAAAAGGAGCGTGAATGAATGAGTCATGAAATTTGTTCTCAGTAGGTGGGAAACATTTCACACATATATATTTTTCAAAAATAAAATGTACATTGCTGACTGTCCTGCAGGCGGTATAAAGAATGCACAGCAGAGGCAGAAGGACCCGAGGAAGTTCACTCTGCTGGGAAAGGAGGAAGGGGACGAACAGCAGGTTGCTTCTGGCACCCACAGCCCCTCTGGCCGGATGGGGGACGTTCCTGGGCCAGCTTCCCTCTCCGGGGCCTTGGCCTCCTGTCCCCACGGGAGGTGCGGTCTGGGCGCCGCTGACACTTTCCCCGGCCCTCCGAGGAGCTGGGGGATCGCGCACGGGCACAGCTCCAGGGAAGTCCAGGGAAGTCCACGCAACGCTCGCTTCACTCGAGAGGCAAATCACGGAAACTTCGCTGAAGGAAGAACTGGCCGCCCTTCTCGGGCTGGGTGAGCGGGCGTCTCCCGAATTTCTCCTCCTCTCTTTGACACTCAAGCTCGTCCCCCAACAGGG